GACTTGTGGTACAGGTCTTTTACACGTTTCCTTGCGAAGTCAGAATCCAACGAATTCTAACAATCACGATCCCGTGCTGCTCTCGTATATATGTTCGCCTACGTTTTTTGATTCACTGTACAACAAAGAAAACCAGAGTCCATTAGGTCTAAGGTAGCTAATATACGCAGAAGACAAGTCATTAGAATAAGAATAACTCTTTAGAAGAATAATTCATATTATAAATCAATTAATGACAAATTAAAAGAATTAAAAGCTACAAGGACTCTTCCCTTCTTTAGCTCACGGTATATGCAAACTTGTGGCACAAGTTTTATTTAATTCTCGTATAATTAGAATCCAAGGGATTCTAACAATTTGCATCCCAATTATCTTTCGCATCTCAAATTCCAAATTACTGGTTTATTTGCCAAATAAGGTTCTTTTAGATGATATATTAAAAAAAAAAAAAAAAAATTGTTACAATTTGGCCAACATCCAGCCAAATCAGGAATTACAAATCTCAACAAACATTATGGGACACTATGGCTGTTGTGTGGATCTTATTTGAACTTACAGACTATGAAAATAAAATACTTCAATTCAAAGAAACAAAGCTAATTGAACAAAAAGATCACACCCCTGATGTTCCTCTATCCAACTAATATGCTATTCCATTTAGGACTTTTATCAATTATAATGTTGTTCATCACAGAACACCACACAACAGTCAACACACACACACACACACACACACACACACATACGCACGCACACACACACTCTCTTAATCGCAACCGCAAATAATTTAAAAAATTCCATCGTTGCGTAAGTATATATGAAGGAGATCACATTAAAAAATAGAACTAGAACAATTCAAAGCATTTCAATCAAAATAAACAGAGGAAAAAAGGAAAACTTTAACCCGACTTTGATCAATTCACCAACCAATGAATTTATGGAAAGCTACGAGTTCAAAAATTAGATTTTACACAAAATCAAAGCAAAAATGTTCACGCATACGAACATAAGTAGCTGATACTACCAAAAAAAAAAGAATTAAATGAGATTTTTGCATTATTCAAAATGAAGATCTGAGAAAAAAGTAACTTTATGAGATATAATTCACAGCATAAACTCACAATTACCCAAAAAAGAGGATGCTCAATCCAGTGGCGAATCCAGGAATTTTGCCAAGGGTGTTCGAAATTAAATATAATGAAAAATATAATGGTTGGTTAATAGTTTACGGGGGTTCGGGGGCAGCGCCCCCGAATTTTTTTTTTTTTTGAATACCGTACACATTAAATAATAAAAAATCTTTAAACTTTTTAAATTTAAAGGGATTATTTTACCATTTTTGGGCAAATTTAGGAAATATTTAGACATAAAATTGGTGAAAATATTAAAGGAGTGGTAAACATATTAAAGTTGCAAGTGACAAAATGTACATTTCATTAGCGGATTTTGAATTTTCAAAAAGAAAAAAAAAACCCACATAGTTGTAAATTTAGAAAAAAAATTGAAATAATACATATATATACAAACTTTTTAAATTTAAAGGGATTATTTTACCATTTTTGGGCAAATTTAGGAAATATTTAGACATAAAATTGGTGAAAATATTAAAGCAGTGGTAAACGTATTAAAGTTGCAGGTGACAAAATGTACATTTCATTAGCAGATTTTGAATTTTCAAAAAGAAAAAAAAAACCCACATACACATAGTTGTAAATTTAGAAAAAAAATTGAAATAATACATATATAGACAATATTTAGAATTATTGAAATAATACATATATAGACAATATTTAGAATTTTTGAATACCCACATATTCAACATTTTTTTTTAAAACAATTAAAATATTGTATATAATGGGAAAATTGGGAATAAAAAAGGAAAAATAATAGAGAGGTTTCGGACTCTGGGTCTCGAACCCTGCACAACTGCAGAATGCTATGAAGCACTTAACCGGTTCAGCTACAGCATTGCATTGGACATATGTTACATTTGCAGTTATATATAGAAATAATTTTTTTTTTAAATCAAGGGTGTGCAGTAGCACACCCTTGGACCACACTGGATACGCCACTGGCTCAATCGTCAGCCACAAGAACGATGAAAGAGGGAGATGAATGCAGGAATGAACGAAACATAAAGTTAATCAATAATTAGGTTACTATTTTATGATAATTATTGCTCTGTAATTAAACTTAGATATTAATGTTAATTTATAATTAAATTTTAGCTTTAAGGGTTTTTGTGTAATTTTACTCATAAGGTAGCTATCGTACAATTTTTTTATGGGTTCGTACTAATCTGACGTGGCACAATTTTATTGGAAGATTATGGTCCGAGAAGTACAACCCTCTCGGACCCTAGACAACCCCTGCTCTGATAGTTGATTAAAGTGTTAAACTGTATAAGTAATTGTTGGCGCCAGGTTTCCGTGAGTAAAGAAATTCGCCATACTTGGATATTAAAGACTGGCAAAGATTTGTTTTCCATATTTATTTTGGAATTTATCAGAGTCCTATTCTTATAATACTTTTAATAGGATTTAGATTTATTTTCATGTATTTTATTCTAGTTAGGTATCTTTTGTATCTATCTAGAATAGAAGTAGAAATCGGCTAGGATTCTATTACCTAGTTAAATCGATTTCTTTAGGTTCAAGTTAGATCTTAGAGGTTATTTTCTTGGTTACATAAGCTTCCAAGACACTAAAGAACCCTGCGCATTTATTTGATGAAAAACCACTTCATAGCATCGAAGGTTTGCTAAAGCGTTCTGCAGAGCAGAACTGCGCCATCGTTGTGTGTGCCAACATATACAGAGTTGTTGTATAGATCTCAAGGGAGATCAACCGCATTTCTGAAGGGTTTGAAAGAAGTTCAAGGAACGCGGAGTGGAGTTGCTGTAGAGAGAGACACGAAGTTCGAGTTGTGTACAAGAATGGCGTAAAAATTAAAGAGGGGGTCTTTATTATTTTTAATAAGTTCTATTAATGTACATTGTAAATCTGAAATAGTGAAATCGTGTTTGCAGATCCATGTGGATGTAGGGCACATTTATGTTTGAACTACGTTATATTCTTGTGTTATTTTATCTGCTTTTAAGTAGTTAATTACTGTGACAACACAAGAATTATAGTTGCAACATTATATTGTCTTAACAAGTAATCTGTTTCAACAGAACGAATAGATTTTCATAGATATATAAATCAACAGTCGATTAAGGTTACTCAATTTCATTTTTTAATTCGTTTTTTGATTTTTGTGTACTGATTCCAATTTGTATAAATTAATTACAAATTTTGTGTATTATTTGTTCCGTAAAAAAATGTTGATATTAGTTTTTATGTAGTATTTATTTTATTTTTAGTAGTCAGTTCCTTAATCGACTATGTTTCATCATAGTGATTAATATGCTTCATAGTTGATTAATATACCTGATAGAGAAAAAAAAAGTTAAAAAACAAAAGAAACAAAAATTAAAAATAATTAAAAATAAAATTAAAAAAAGATTAAAAAATTATAATAAAAAAAACGGCTGATGGACGATGATAATGTTGTGATAGTTCTGATGAGGTGGCAGGGACATAATTGGAAAAGTGGATGGCTGAAATTACAAATTAGCTTTTATTAAATAGTGCAAAATAGTTCCGGCCTCTCCCTATTAATAGAAATATTAATAGAAAGTATTAGATTTCCTTGCACTAAAAAAGCTATTAGTCTAAATACTTTTCTATATATATAAATGAGTAAAAAGCAGTTTACCCCCTAAATTAAAGCCCGTTTTGCACTTTGCCCCCCAAACAAAAAAAATTTGCACGTTCTTACCTAAACTCGTTAATTCATTGCACGGTGCCTCCTAAAAGGAATATTCCGGCAATTTTGACGGAAATATGACTACACGTATATTGCACATGAGATTTGCAGGGGCAAATTGGTCACTTCCCTTACATTATATATTTTAATATTTAAAACAAAATAATAATAATAATAAATAAATAAAAAGGAAAAAGAACAAAAATGAGTTGTCATCCACTCATCCCGTAGACCACCATGGCACCACCATTGAAGCAGTCTTGCAGCAGCTGCTGGACTTTCGGGATTCGGGTGGAGCCGCCGACGAGAACCACCTCGTGCACCGTAGATTTATGGATTTTCTTATCCCATAAGCACTTTTCGACGGGCTCCATACACCTCACGAACATGTCCATACATAGTTCTTCGAATCTCGCTCTAGTAATGGTGGCTTAGAAATCAATCCCTTCGAATAACGAATCGACTTCGACTGTCGTTTGCGTGGTGGAGGAGAGGGTTCTTTACGCTCTTTCGCAGGCGGTTCTGAGTCTCCTTAGAGCTCTGGCGTTCCCGCTTATGTCCCTTTTGTTCTTTCGCCGGAATTCGGAGACGAAGTGGTTGACCAGGCGGTTATCAAAGTCTTCGCCGCCGAGGTGAGTGTCGCCGGCGGTGGCTTTCACTTCGAATTATATGCCTTCTTCTATGGTGAGTAATGAAACGTCGAAAGTGCCGCCGCCTAAATCGAAGACGAGGATGTTCTGCTCGCCGGATCCGGAGCTTTTCTTGTCCAGGCCGAGGATGTTCGGCGGCGGTGGGTTCGTTGATGATACGGAGGACGTTGAGGCCGGCGATTCCACCAGCGTCTTTCGTTGCTTGTCGCAGGCGAGATTCCGGTGAGACTTTGAAGCTTGAGGTCATATCCTCGAATGTGACGTCTGATTGTGGTTTTGGTAATTTTGTTTTGTTTTTCCCTTTTTTTTTTTTTTTTTTTTTTTTTTTAAGATTAATTTATATTTAATATATAGCATGTAAGTGAATGGACGAATATACCCCTGCAAATGTCACGTGCAAGCCACATGTTTTAACTTTCCGGTCAAAATTGCCGGAAAATTGAGTTCAGGTGGCATCGTGCAACGAATTAACGAGTTCAGGTAAAAACGTGCAAATTTTTTTTGTTTGGGGGGCAAAGTGCAAAATGGGCTTTAATTTAGGGGGTAAACTGCTTTTTACTCTATATAAATTGATGAAATTATACTAGATACAGTTCAAACAATAAAAATATGGAGAAAATTTAACACAAAACGGGGCAACACACGTCCACCTTGTACATTAGAAAAAAAAATACAAAATCAAACACACAGGAACTGGTGAGAAACTAGTGGTGGGCATCGTTTGATTTTGGCTTCTTCACTATGAGAACCGGACACTTGACCTTGTGAGCACAATGGTTGCTTACACTGCCAAGAAATGCCCTGTCACATTACAAAAACCAAATTAGTTATCATTTTATTTAATAATTATAATTCCCCAAATTTCGTCTAAATAATGATATTCCTCAATATCATCTTTAATTTGTTAATTAGTTGTAAAATATTTGGCGAATAGCATATACCTCTTAATGGTACCATAGCCATGGCTACCCAAGACCAAAAAGTCAACCTTCAACTTGTCGGCCATCTCACATATCACATCCCTTGGATCCCCAGTCTCCACCATCGCCTCCACCGTAATCTACATACACCCAACCACACAGAATCACAATTTCGATACACATAATAATATTATATTAAAAGAAAGAAAGAAAAAAACAATGATTACTTACTTGATCATCGAATTCGCTGCAAATCTTCTTAGCCTTGTCGATCACACTCTGAGCCACTTGATTGCTTAAAATCTCCATATTTGCGATTATATCAGCAGTAAACAAGTACCCTGACAACAAATATCAACACAACCTCAATAAATTAATAATAATTTCTTCTGGTTTCGAGACTCGTGTCAGCATTAATTCACTGTACCTGTAGAATCGATGGCGGTGTAGACAGGACGAGGTTGTACGGCATAGATGAGGACAAGGGTATCATTGGAATTACTCAAAGTCTTCAGACACCATGAGAGTGCGTAACCGCTCTCATCGCTTTCGTCAACTGCCACCAGAATCTTGCGCCCATTCTTTTCTGCCATTATTAATTTTATTTTATTTTATGAGATGATGAATTGATGTTGCGTAAGGTTTATATGTATATGTATATATATATACATCATGTGTAAGAGTATGTTGTGGGCTGGGGGCACTAATGGATTGGTGGACTGGTTCAGTTTTGCCGTTTCGGGGGGCTCTCCTGGTTTTTGGAAATGGTGTGCTTCAATTCTAATTTTTCTTTTTTTCTTTTTTTAAATTGTGAGTTTATCTTTGTTTGTTCTTATCTCTCCGTTTACTTTTTCTTTTCGTTTTCTTTTCTTTTGTTATTTTCTTAATGGTTTGGAGATATTTGTTAGAGCAACTACAATGTTAAATATCAAAATTGGATTATCAAATGCTTATTTGATATTTAAGATAATATATTAAAATACATTTAAAACTCATTTACTCCGATCGTTGTTATCAAATTTTATTATCAATTGAAAGTTTTTTGATAACTTTATATGTAATTATCACATGTCAATTTGTGAATGGTTGGTAAGATCGTTAATTTTTTGATAACTCAATCTGCAGGAAGTATTTTTAGATTCAAATAGGAGAAATATCAAAATACAAACTCATTTTAATAACCCCTTTGGAGAACAATTTTTTTAAATTTTAAGAGTCAAATGGTAGTTAAGAGATTTGATAACTCATTTAATAACTGCATTGGAGTTGTTCTTATAAGAGCAACTCCAACCCATTGTTATCAAATGGGGTTATCAAATACTCATACTTTGATATCTCTATACAACTACTGAACTCCAACCACAAGTATCAAAAAACAATTATCAAACAAATTTATGATTATTTATATATTATTTAATTTTTAATTCATTTCAAATAACCATACAAAGCGATTTTTCTGGTAAACTATCCTCAAAATCAATATTAATCAAGTTTTTACCTTTTCAAAACAAAAAAAAAATTATATATACATAGAGATTCTTTTTTTCCGTGAAACTTTGTTGAAGCCGTAGAAAAAAAAAATATATGTTGACATATTTTTGAGATTTTTTTTCCAATGGAAATTTGTTGAAGACGTTGAGAATTTAATTTTATTCTGTTGAGATTTTACGTAAAGAAAAGAAAACTCAATTCTGTTGAGGTTTTTCTTTTTTTCACGTGCTCCAATAGAACTCTATTTGAATAACCCCATTGGAGGAGAGAGTTTTTAAATTTATGGAGTCAAATGGAGGTTAAGGGGTTTGGTAACCGATTTAATAACCCCGTTGGAGTTGCTCTAAGGTTTTTAATCCAAATAGAAAACGATATAATCGTAATAACACTGCTAATAGGATTATTTAAGTGGGTTTGAATTTGTAAAGTCAATTACACATTTATTCGTAAAAATCATTAAACCACTCGTCCAAAAATGAATCCTATAGCATTCGAACTTGTAACCCTCTTAAACCATACAAGAATACTTACCATTGTGACACAACACAATAACCATATATATCACAACGCTACAGTGTATAATGATTATAAGACTTATATAAATAATGTTAAATAAATTACTAATTCTCATATAATAATTATTATTATATATTAAAAATATTCAATATTAACAGATCTATATATAATAAATTTTAAAATTCTAAGGAAATGCAGATCAACTCGTGTAATTTAAAAATGAATTTCGAAAGAATTTGAAGTTTGAATTGAATCTTAAATCGTAAGATTTGAATCAATTAAGCTCATGTGTGTTCAATTCGAAATATTCAAAGATTTGAAACGATTAAGTTCAAGTCATTTCAATTCGTAGACAATATTCAAATATTTGAATCGGTTAAACTCAACAATTTACAGTAACATATTAATCGAAGTAACTATACACAGTTAAAGTTTAGTATTTTTTTTTTATTGAATTTGATCATCAAAATAATAAAATTTAATTTGCAAAAATCCTAAGATCGTAAGATTTAATAGATTCAAATATTATGGTTAGATTAAATCATACGATTTACGATTTACGATTTGATTCTTACAATTTTTACAAATTAAATGTATTTTTTTTTATTAAAATTGAATTAAAAGGATACTAGACTTTACTTATAAATAGTTAACTCGATTAATACGTTATTGCCAATGGTTGAACTTAATCGATTCAATTCTTTGAAGCATATTTACATATTTAACGAACTTCAGCTTAAACGATTCAAGTCTTATGATTTGATTCTTACATATGTTAACAATTAAATATATTACTTTTTATGATAAAATTGAATTAAAAATAAATTAGACTTTAATTATAAATAGTTACTTCAATTATTATGTTCTCATCAATAATTAAGCTTCATTGATTCAAATCTTTGATTAAAGTTTAATAACTGAAAAGATTTGAGCTTAATCAATCAAATCTTACTATTTGATTAAACTAAATATTAAAAGAAAAATCACAATATAGTATTTTAAGTATATAGTTTTATTTTCAAGTAAGAAAACTAATTGGAATGAGTTGTAATCTATTTTTTTATTCTAAATAAACATCTTATTTTATTTTTTATTCGAATTTGTAACACTGTCGATTTAATAAGTCAGCTTGTATTAAGTTAATTGGGTATTCTTTATATTTTTCCATAGGAGTTTATTAATTTATATAATTAATAATAGATGTTTAGGGATATTGAACCGCAGTTCTTTATATTTTTTTAAACTTTATTATATTAAATTTGTTAATAATTTATTTAACATTATTTAATAATAATGAATATCGCATTTAATATTCTATTTACATTATTTAAATACTTATATTTATTATCACTTAACATTCTGTCTTGGCAACATATAACATGATTCTTAGACGTGTTAATAAAAGTTAATGCGGTGAAAGTAGTTAAAGGTCTTAAGTTCAATTCCCAACTAATGCTTGCATTTTTGGCCAATTATTATTCATCAAATAAAACTGGGTCACTGAGTTGACCCGATTTCATCAAATGAAACTGGTTCCGGGTCACTGAGTTGACACGGCTCGAATATTTAAAACATATTTAAATTAATTATTTACTAAAATATAGTCAGGGGTAAATTAGACAATTCGATATTAATCTATTTTATATTGGTTTAATAAAAAAAATAATCGAAGGACACTTTGGTAAAATGCTTTATTTTTTGTAACACCATTTTCCTAAGGTCCAGATTTAATCTTTGAAAATTAATCATGATTGAAGCATATCTCATATAAGTTTAGAACACGGGGTATCTCGCCGTAGACAAATCTTATTTAAGTTATATTTAAACCTAAATTTAGTTATTTTTATTTGGGGAAATGGCAAAGAAGGACATGATAAGGGAGTTAAATGCACATTGAACTAGATAAAAAACAGTTTTCTAAATAAACTCATCCTCATATCTTTTGTCAAAAATACCCTCCATAATATATTTTTTATCAATTTCATCCATTTTACTTTAACTTTCTCAATATTACACATTGACCCTAGATTTAAACAAATATATATATATATATCATTAACCTCATTTTTCATAATTTTTTGAAAAACTATTTTTTTTTTCAGAAAATAAATTTTTTTTCTGAAATTATTTTTTCCGCCAAGATTCCAGCGTAAACTATTTTTTTTCTAATTTTTTTTTCCAGCCGATCTCCGACGTTGACTATTTTTTTTTTAAACAAATTATTTTAATTAATATTACTGTCTTGGCTAGGGATAAGCAGGTCGGACCCATCAACCCGTTGAACCCGTCAAACCCGGTAAAAATCGTCCCGCTAGGATCGGACGGATAGATCCATCAATAGGATTGGGTCTTAAAATGGAGAAGATACGTGGGTTTGGGTCTAAGACGGGTTCAAATTTTTTTAGTACCCGTGAAACCAAGCATGTCCCGCCATACAAAACGACATCGTTTTGTTATATTATGTTGTATAATAACTTAATTATATATATAATAATGAATAAAGTATCTCTTACCTATCAAACCTTATATCTATAACGACGATATCGTATCGTTTTGTCTATAGTTATCTATTTTTATTTTAAATCTTGTCTTATAAAGCTTTCAATTTATGCACTCTTTATAATGAATTTATAGTTAAATTATTAATTTTGATTTACCCTTGGCAGTTATCATTAATATTATTCATGTTGGTTTCAATTTAAGATTTTACGTTTGGTCATTCATTTTAATTTCTAAATTTTTTCGTGTAACACTTAAAAATTATTAAAAATAAATAACACGTTTAAATTATGACGGGTTTTGACCCGTGAAGGTTGGGTCCTACTGTATACCCACCATGGACCATCCTGTCCTAAACCCGTCGAAAACCCACAAGTTTGGTTCCTTAAAATCAAGAACCGTTTATCGACGGGACGAGGGCGGGTTTTGTTACAACCCATGTGTTTATGACCCGCGCACACCCCTAGTCTTGACTGCTAAATTACTGTCCAACAGTAATTTAACTGTCTGATACAGTAACATTACTGTCTCCGGCGTTGACTTTTTTTTCTGTCAAAATTATTGTCTGAAATAGTAACATTGAATACCAAAACAGTAATATTACTAATATTACAGTCCCAAACAGTAATATTATTGCATGAGACAGTAATATTACGGTCGGAGCCAGTAATATTACGATCGAAGACAACAAAATTGCATGCCAAGACGATAAAATTAATTAATACAGTAAAATTACTGTCTCGGACTGTAATAGTAATGTCTCGAATTGTTAAATAACTGTTTGAGACAGTAATTTAGCAGCCAAGACAATAATATTAATTAAAATAATTTCTTTTAAGAAAAAATATATTTTTTTTTTTAAAAAAAGTCAATTAACAGTTAAATTACTGTTGGAGACAGTAATATTAATTAAAATATTTTTTTTTTTTTAAAAAACGCTGGAGACCAGCGGTTAACCTGTCGAAAAAAAAATCAGAAAAAAAAATTTCTAAAAAAAAAAAGAATTTAACGATGGAGACCGGCGGTTGACCTGTCGGGAAAAAAAAGTTAATTTTTTTTTTTTAAAAGTCAACGCCGGAGACCGATTGTCTCCGGCGGTGGTGGATCAAAATTTGAATAAAGATCAATATATATATATATATATATATATATATATATATATATATATATATATATATATATATATATATATATATATATATATATATATATATATATATATATATATATATATATATATATATATATATATATATATATATATATATATATATATATATCTATATATATTTTTTTTTTTGATAAATAGATATATATATATATATATATATATATA